TATTTAAGCTTATTTTTTAAAATTCAAGTTCAGAATCTAAGTGTGCATTGGCAGTTTTATGTAACTTTTAATAATTCACAAATAGCATCTAAAATACCTGTAGCTTAGTTATAGTTTAATATTTATGCCATGGGATGAGGAAAAATGGTTGTTATTAATGCTCATTTACGTAGAAAATTGTGGATATCTGTATTTATCATCATGTGATAGGATCACCTTTAAAAGTGGATGGTAGCTGTTTAAGTTAACAGCAAATAGATTAAATAAATATTTATTTAATACATATACAAGTCATAAAATAATATTTCTTGTTAGTTTCATTGTCTCAAAATTAGGGGCTAGGTCTGGTATAAATCAACATAAATTCATGGAAAGCAAATGAACTATGAAGATTTACACCAGCTGATATCCATTGCTATATATGCCAACAGTGATAGATATAACTTAATTCCTTCCAGATCTACAGTGGTTTATATATTCACTTGAAGCGAGAAATGGCCAACAGAAATAAAAAAGAGCTGGATATGAAATTGTCAGAGAGAAAATAAAGCATTGTCAGCATGTGATGGTGGGTGGGGAACTTTGGGAATGGTTGCTGTCCCCAGATGGAATTAGCGAATTCTATTATGTATGTGTGTTTTAGGGTCATTCAATAGAAGAAAAAGAAATTCCCTCTACGTAACTGTGACTCTCCTCATTGTGTCAGTATTAATTCTTACGGTGGGCCTAGCTGCTACAACAAGAACCCAAAATGTGACTGTTGGAGGTTATTACCCTGGGGTTATTGTAAGTATAGAACTCGTAGGTAGGTCTAGAAAACTTATTGCCTACAAAGTCGTTTGTGTTGCTGCAAATGTTATAAAAGTACAGCCCTCTGCTAAACACTAACATCTTCTCAGCTACTTTATTGCCATGTATGATGTCTTATTATTTTACACATCCCACCTCATGTCCACGTGAAAAGCCCATCCAGTCAAATTGCGGTCTTCTCCAATCTAGGGTTGGGCCATAATAATACTTTGATCTACACAGCTTGTGATTCTCCAGATAAATGTGATTTTTTTGGGGCTGACATAGGGTTTGTTGTAAACTGTTTTTAATTTGAATAAATCCAGTTCATCCAGTGCAGGGCAAAAAAGAGAAACAAAAAACCATTGGGAAATTAAGGCCCATAATATTTACACACATAAGCACAATGGGATAAATCGTGCATTCAAGGGTGTTTACAGAGTCACGTCCACAGATTGGGAAAAAAAACTTGGAAAAGTTGAAGAAGAGGGGGAAAAATTAGTGCTAGATATCTTTGTTTTACAAGGACAAGTGTTTGATCCATGTCAAAACTGTTAATATGCCCATTTTTATTTCAAAATGAAAAGGGGAAAATAAGATCCTCTCATAGAAAGATGTTTATCTTCCTGAAAGTGATTCATTCAGTGAAAGAATTATTTAGTGCTAGGAATATGATTGTGGAGCCTAAACACCTGGAAGTTCACTGGTTTGAATCCAATCCTGATTACAGACATTTGAAGGTTACCTTTTTACAATGATGAGTGGTGTTAATCTCAAAGGTTGTACCTCCATCGAAGAAGTGTCTCCACCACCCAAAAATACCCTTAACTCTTCCCATTGTCACCAAGATTCTTGATGGTACTAGTTTAATTAACTACTCTGCATAGCAGGCTGGAGCAGCCTGGCTATTCAAATGGCACCTCTACCACAAATGCTCCCTGCCTGTTAGTTTGTTAACTGTATAGATGAAAATGGTTGGTGGGTGAGCTCACATACCTATCTGTACACATCAACATTGCAAATGCTGCTGCTGGGTTACCAGTCCATACTTAAAATAGCCAGTGTTTCACAACACTCTGGGGCTTCTTTTCTTTTTTCTTTTTTTTTTCTTGTGTTAAAAGACTGCTGGAAGGAGAGCACATGCTGGGAAGAGAGAGACTTCCCAAAGGATCTAGCTTCCAGAGCTCCAGAGGAATGAATGGCTTGGTTCTGACACACGTTTGAATTGCAATAGAACGTGCGGAAGAGCAGATCATCCAATGGTCCTGTTACCATTGCTGCCAAGTTTGTGTATTTTTTGGCGGTGGCCAGAAAAAATAGGAGGGAAAAGCTCTAGACCCTGCGCTTTGAGGGTCCACTCCCCACCACTACCCCTACGCCAAGGGCAGCAGCTGCCGATCCTATGCTGGGCTGTGAGTCATCCGCCAACCCCACTCCCTGTATGCAAGGCTGCTGACTCCCAGCAGTGGGGCATGAGTGGGGGGCTGCTCTCGGGTAGCAGTTCATCATTACCTAGTAAGCGTTACCCTTTAAGGGTGATGCCTGCTAGGGATGTTAGATACTGTGTAATTGAAAAGTCGTGTAACCGCATGAAAACTTAGTGGTTACGTGACTATCTGCTAGTCCCCAGGGGGCAGGGCTGGCAGCCTGTGGGCTCCCTGCCCTACTCCTGGGGAGCTCCCTGCCACTCCACGCAGCTGCCTCTCTATCAGAGGAAGCAGCGCAGGGGGGAGCTGGTCCGCGAGAGAAGCCTTTTTAAAAACCATCTCCCTGCGCAGACTGGTTGCCTGCTGCCCCACATTGCTGCCTCTGATACAGAGGCAGCAGTACAGGGGGGCAGCAGCCCCTGTACAC